GGGCCTGGCCCACAGGGGGCCGAGGTCACCATTTCCAGGCGGCAGCAGTTGGAGATGGGGGAAATAAGTGGATTTACAGGCACAGGGGGGTGGTGTGGGGCAGGGCGAGCGTCTCCAAGGTCACTTGGTGGTATGGGGAGGTGTGGCCTGGCAGGACAAGGAGGTGGCCGTCGGTGAGGGCTCCAAGCTGGGGACTGCGAGGGCAGAGGGGTCGCGATGTAACCTCCCCTTCCTGAAAGGCACCTTCCCAGGCTGGGAAAATCGCCCTTCCCCAGGGGCTGCAGCCCCAAAACCAGCTCCTTGCTGTGGGCCCCGAGGAAAACGCAGCTGGGAGACCCGCTCTGAAAGAAAAGTGAGGAGATTGAGGTGAGCAGCACCCCAGGTGCCACCAAAACCCGCCCCCAGGGTGCCCTTAGTGTTAAACCGGGGGCGGGACGTTGCGTCGTGGGACAGAAACCAGCAGCAAAACCCTCAACTGAAAAACCACCCTGAAATCAGGACTGGCAAAGCACTCCTGGAGCCCCGGCAGAGGCCGGCCCCGCTCAGAACCCCCCTGTCCCAGCCCAACACAAGAGTCGAAACGCGGGCAGGCGGGGCTGGGGACGCGCTGCTGCAGGAGGGGACGGCCAAGGACGTAGCAGAGGTGGGGAAGGAGTCCCGGGCCCCTCCGCCCCATGGGCCATACCGGTGTGGGGCAGCAGTCCACAGGGGCGGCCGGAGACCTTAATTCCTCAAGGCGGCCAACCTGGAAGGGAGAGGATGAGAGGGAAGCGACGTGAGAGGAGCAGGGAACAACTCGGGAGGTCCCTTCAGCTGGGAACAGCTCTGCCCCAAAACCTCCCCCCTGCAGCAGAGGCGCAAGGAATCACCCCCTGGAGCAGAAATCCCAGCAGGGGTGGTTGTTACCAGTGCAGGGGAGGAGGAGGGGGTCCTGCCTTCAATTTTGGGTGCCTCACCACTGCATCCCACCTGGCTCCCTTCTCCCAGCTCCCCCCACCACTGCCACCCAGGGACTGTCACCAGATGGACCCCTCACGGGGAGGGACCCGGGAGAGGAAGCGTCCCTGGGGCAGTAAAGACAGGCTGTTCCCAGCGCCGTCTGAAGGTCATTGCCAAGCGTTCCCGGAGCAGCAGCAGCTGCGTGAGGGCGAGCACAGAACGGGGGGATGCTGTTCTGCACCTCGTTGATGAGAGCTCGCCACCAAATGCCAAAATCCACCCCATCCCCCAGGCCCAAAGGGGTCCCACAGCCCCCGTGGGCAACTCACTCCCTTTGGATCAGCACAGGACCCTGGGAAGGACTGGAGCCAGGATTCCTCACCTCCGCGACAGTTGGTCCTCCTGGCTGCGGACCGAGCTCTCCCCCACGGCCGAAGCCCCCTCGGGGAGCTGGCTGAGCTGGTCCATGATCTCCAGGCCGTTCTCCTCGGCGATCTGCACGATCAGGCTGTCCACCTGCTCCTGCGGCGTGGTCAGCGTGGTAGCGGAGCTCATGGAGTCCTCCATCACCTGCGACAGACACCACCCGTCACCCCGCAGGCAAAGCTGCTGCTGAAGCCCAAGTTCCTGCCAGGACCCAGCTCTCTCCTGGGAAGCAGCTCCCAGCGGCTCAGAGCCAAGCCCACCCTCCCAAACCCAGCAGCTCCCAGCCCGCCCGGACCCCTCAGGTACCAGCGGCACTTACCGACGTGTGAACGTCCAAATTCTGAACCTGCTGCTCGAATTTATCCATCACCGCAGACACCTTCTGCAGGTCCATGGAGCTCAGGGCCTTGTCCAAGGCCTTCGTCACCTGTGCCATGTTTTTCGTCACCTGCAAGAGGAGAATACTTCACAAACAGTCCCTAAACACAAGGCACGTCAGTGCTGGGAGGAAAATGAGAGAGGGGCCAGCAATCCTGACACCTGCAGCGGTGTGAGGAGGCAGGAGGGGCTCTGCCTGCTCACCAGAGGCTGTGGCCACCTCCTGGCAAGCTCAGCCTGGCTGCAGGGTCCAGCCTCATGTGGTCACTGGACACCTCGGGCCGTGCTCCTGGCAGGACGGCTCTGAGCCCACCGCCCTCATGTGAAGGCTCTTACCCCCTTCATCGTCACGGCCGTCTGGACCTTGGAGGCCACTGCGTCCACCCGGGATGACATACGGAGCCAGTTGAGCCCCTCGTTCTTCTTGCGGATGGCATTCTCGGCGTAGACGCGAGCGCACTCCACATTCTTCTGCTGCAGGGCCTGGAGGAGGCAAAGGGCACAGAGAAAACAGCGCAGGTTTGCAAACAAGCGCATTTCATTTCCGCTTGGCGGCTTTCCAGCGGGAAACAGCCCACCCACAGCCCTGGAAACACAGAGCACGCCCTGGAACGGGAATTCAGCCCCTTGTAGGGACACACCGCATCCACCCGGTGGATTTGGGAGCTGAGGCTGGGACTCAAGATGTTTGGAGGCTGAGCTGGTGCAAGCACCAAGGGGAACCTTTGAGTGGAGCATCTCCTGCTGAGGAGTGGCTGAGGGAGCTGGGGCTCTTCAGCTTGGAGCAGAGGAGACTGAGGGGTGCCCTCATTCCTGGCGATCCATTTGGAAAGGGCAGTGTCAGGAGGAAGGAGCCAGGCTCTGCTCTGGGATGTCCAATGCCAGGACAAGGGGCAATGGTCCCAAGCTGGAGCACAGGAGGTTCAAGCTGAAGATGAGGACAAAGTTTGTGAGTGTGAGGGTTATGGAGCATGGCCCAGGCTGCCCAGAGAGGTTGTGGAGTCTCCTTGTGTGGAGACACCCAAAGCCCTGGCCGTGTTCCTGTGTGACTGCTCTGGTGATCCTGCTATGGGGGGGTTGCACTGGGGGAGCTTTCCAGGTCCCTTCCAACTCCTGACATCTGCGATTCTGTGAACCCACCCCCAGGTCAGGGCCCACAGCCGCCCAGCACAGCCTCCGTGTGCAGGGTGAGCACCCACCCACCTTTTTGACTTTGGCTTGCTCGGCCTTGGAGTCTTTCTCAGCTTTCTTGGCGAGCTTCTCCAGCTGCTTCGCTGTGAACTGCACAGAAAGCAACAGCTTAGGGTCAGGGCACGGCGGTGCAGAACCAGGGTGAGAGAAGCCCCAGCAATGCCCACCACAGCTGCCCCGACCCCTGGGCTGCGAGAGAGGGACACAGACTCGGCCGAGGACAGGAGGCCCCCACAGCAAACCGGGAACGACAGCCCCGGGGAACAAACCCCGCAAACGGGCTCCCTCTTCCCGCAGCCGCCGGCATCG